TGACATATATTCATTAATTTAAGGATCAAATGGTCCCCTGGGCAATTAAACCTCGGGATTGTTTGTCCTGTACTATCATATTCTCCCATGAGTCATTATATTCTCTAATTGCCTCCACGTACCCTTTTAACTACACCTGACCTTGTAATTTTGTACTCTTAATTACTGTGTTTGGATGATTTTATTATATATTTTGAAGGAAGGTAAGAGATGTGGGAGAGATATACTGAATGAAGCTCTATAATTTACTATAATTTGTTTACCTTTGCTTTGAGTCATCCTTAGGACACCCGATGCAAGCTAAAGGGCGCCACGAATGGATCACCTGAAGATTAAGTACCCCAGTTTATTTTACCTGATGATTGAATATCTTAACCTAACATAACCAAACCTAACACATCTAAGTAGCTTTACGGTGTTTAATAATCAGGTGAAATAAGTTTGGGTGCTTAATCTTCAGGTGATCTCACGAACTCTATCCTGCTCGCTCATACCCTTGTTTACAGACTACTCCACAAATATATGACGAATATCCAGTAGTTCTAATTTAAGCTCCGCCCTCCACCCAGTAGTTCTAATTTAAGCTCCGCCCTCTATTCAGTACGTTATGAAAAAAAGTCCTCCCTCCAAACGAGAAAACGTCACAATAACGTCAGTCAATTTCATCATCTTTCCATCCACTATCTAATAATCCTGCCATATATAAATACATACTTCCCCCTCCCTAATCATATATTCAAGTTCCCATATTAAGTTCGATTTACATCTTCCTCAAGGACTTACAAATCACTTTATTTTTACCGTTCAGGAATTCCTCGAAAAAAAATCCGTTTTTTTTTTCGTTATCGAATAGTAATACTTGCAGCTTCCCCATGGCCGCATAATCCTTAAATTAAATGTTATGTATGGAATTCACTGCAGAGAGGAAAGTATAAATTGTAAATGAAATCTGATATTTTTCTCTGACACGTCGGGATTGATGAAATATATTGGTTGAGTTTTAATAGGACAATGGAGTCAAACGCTTCTCTTATTTCACACTAGCTGTTAAAGTGGACTGATATACGAAGCTTCATTATATCTGTCTGTCACCACCACCCACTCACTCCACCTCTCACGGCAGCAGCAGCAACACGTGGCTTTATGATCCTGTGTTCTGGTCCTGGACGTCATGGTCCTGGAGATAATGGTCCTCTATACCAAGATCCTTATACATTCATGGTCTCACATGGTCTCACGTCACGAAAACTGTCCTCACTAACCTGATGTATAGTACAGTAAGCCATATAGAGTTTCACACACACACACACACACACACACACATTATATTACTTCGCTTATGATATGTGGATAATGGTGGTAGATCTTCCCCCAGATCCTATTTTTGAGTGAAAATTAGAATTTCGCCTCGCTCTACCGCCGCTATAGGTAACATGACGTATGACTCCCGCCCACCATGAGACTCAAGGTAATTGTTCAATGCTCCTCCCTTCCTCACATTAAAAAGTATCAAGATGCTACTAACCAGTATGTCATAATAGCGTAAAATAGGACGGAAAGGGTGAATGTAACACTATGATTTCTTGTAAATGTAGAATTATTATGCATGATGTGTATTTGATATTTTAGGTTAATAATGAAGACGTCTCTGTCAACACTCACTTCCAGTCATAGTCATAACTTTCTACTGACTGTCAACCAATTGAAGCTCTGACTGGCCTGACCGTATCTTAGAGCCACTCAAAGTTGGCCTCAGACAGGTGCGGCGACTTTTAATAAAAAATATAATACCAAGGCCCTCAGGTGCGCAGTGATGTGAGTGTTTAGACAGCAACAAAAAAAAAAAGTCCATCTGCTGTTGTTAGTTCCTCCACGATGCTTGTGTTAAAGGCAGTACCGGCTTGACCACTTCACATTAATAAGTCACCTCTTAATATAAAGGATATATAACACCGTCTGAATGTAATAATTATATGACTGTGTAGTTTAAAGTGAGGATTGGCCATCCTCTTCCTCTGTTCTTCCCTCCATTACTACCTCCGTCCTTCTCCCACACACACACACACACACACACACACACACGCGCGCGCGCAAACAAACACATGTGTGCCCTCATTGCCATTGGACTTGGGTTCTACTGTAGTTGGAGCTGGGCCAAGTATTTTTTTCTGTGTTAGTAAATGTATGTAACCGACCGACTGTTTTCTGTTTAATGCCTCTCTCTCTCTCTCTCTCTGTGGCATCTATCAACAGAACATATTAGTTTTTGTTTTCCTTTCCCTCTAAGAAAACAGACAAATATTTTCTTTATATTATTTCTTCGTGCTCGACAATAAACTCTCAATTGTTTATGAATATTCGTCGTGTGCTGCGTGAGATGTTACCTTGGCAACCGTTGTATGACGTTGGGAGGAAGGGTAGAAGAGTGTTGGTGATGATGGAGCAAAAGGTTACCTATCTAAGTAACAACTACAAATATATAAAAACCTATTTGTCATATTTTTTTATAATAACAACAACAAAACGACAGTAATAATAATAATAATAATAATAATAATAATAATAATAATAATAATAATAATAATAATAACAATAATAATAATAATAATAATAATAATAATAATAATAATAATAATGATAATAATAATAATGATATTGGTGGTGGTGGTGGTGGTGGTGAGACTGGTGGTGACATAAATCGGCTGCAGAAAAGTAATCTCAGAAATGCTGCTGTCAGGGCAACGTAATACACGGCACACGGCAGGAAGGTAATCACCACCTCCACACCTGCTCTCAATCCCCCTTCCTTCCTCCCTCTCAACCTGCTCTTTTAACTCTCTTTCTAATTCTCGATTCTATGATAATTCAGGTTGTGGGGACATAGAGGAGTCGAATTTCAAGAAGGTTTCATTATGAAGCGTCAGGGATCTTTTGTCCGTTTGTCCGTTTTGTAAGGAGTGAGGTTGTGTCATCAGTGAGTACAAGATAAACTCGGTTACTGAATGTACTCTACGACTTGGCATAGAGTACAAGAGGCTGGTGTCATGTTCGTCTTTCAAGCACTTGACTGACTGCATGTATGTCACAAGGTCTCCTCAGTTGTTCACAATATAACCAAGAAACTCTCAACTCAGGGTGTTTCTCGTTCCATTCCTCCTTTACGTGTTCTAGATTAAAGTCCTCACATTCTAAGATCGTAAAATCCAGGTATGTCTGATTGTATAAAAAGAAACAATCGAATCCTTTTAATATTCTTATAAGTTTGTGGTTTCATATCTTACCTGAGCCATTGTATAGGTAAGCATTGTTAACAAGAGATTTAATTAGATATACCTGGTAGAGTTTTGTCTTTATAACGTGGTGTATTGGATTCAACCATTTCACCAGGTACAGTATAATGAGATACCACCCACATACATAACACTGACACACACACACACACACTGTTGCATACGATTTGGTCTCTGAAATATATCAGATACAATGGACAATAACAAGAATGTAATACTAAGCACAACAATAACAACTTACATCAACATAACATGACTCACTGCAATAACATCAATGATATATTTGACTGACAAGGCATTTAGTAGCGTGGGTTGTTGTGTGTTGATACGAGTTACCTCACCACGAGGCAGGTTCGTCAACACCTTTCTGGGCAGGTATGCCAACACAGTACAGGGTAGGTCCGTCAGCACATCCCAGGGTAGGTCCGTCAGCACATCCCAGGGTAGGTCCGTCAGTACATCTCAAGGCAGGTGCGTTAGCACATCCCAGGGTAGGTACGTTAGCACATCCCAAGGCAGGTACGTTAGAACAGTCTAGGGCAGGTCCGTCAGCACAGTCCAGGGTAGGTCCGTCAGCACATCCCAGGGTAGGTCCGTCAGCACAGCCCAGGGCAGGTACGTTAGAACAGTCTAGGGCAGGTTCGTCAGCACATTCCAGGGTAGGTCCGTCAGCACATCCCAGGGTAGGTCCGTCAGCACAGCCCAGGGCAGGTACGTTAGAACAGTCTAGGGCAGGTCCGTCAGCACAGTCCAGGGTAGGTCCGTCAGCACATCCCTGGGTAGGTCCGTCAGCACAGCCCAGGGCAGGTACGTTAGAACAGTCTAGGGCAGGTGCGTCTGCACAGTCCAGGGTAGGTCCGTCAGCACATCCCTGGGTAGGTCCGTCAGCACAGTACAGTGCAGGTCCGTCGGCACAGTACAGGGCAGGTCCGTCTGCACAGTACAGGGCAGGTCCATTAACACAGACAAGGTTGGGTCAGTTGAGCAACGGGACGCTCACTAAGCTGCTGCGTCAGGTGACTGCTGCGTCAGTAAGCCAATATTGGCAAAATTCGTGTGTAAAAAGATAGACAAATTCTCCGGTGCTGACGATGCCATTAGAAATGTGAAGGAAAAACAATAAATTTAAGGTAAGTTATGATAGATTTAATGAGGTTAGGTTAGGCTAGGTTAGGTTAGGGTTGGGCTAGAATAGGTTAGTTTAAGTTACGTTACACTAAACTAAGTTTGGTTTGGTTAGGTTAAGTTAGGGTGCGCAAATTTTTTTAAGCTTAAAAAGGTAAATCTTTACTTTGATATTTATAAAGTTTTACATTCATTTTCTTCATTCTTCCACAGTCAGACATCAGTGCACAAGGGAACAACACAACACGAGTCTATTTTAAATACAGTGGCTTGGGTGGAGTAGAATCAAATTCGATATCTGATTGTCTGTTGACATTTACTATTGTCTTGTTCTATAGTTAAAAAAATATTGACTACACTATTCAGTTTGTATTAGTCTATACATTTATCACCTCTATGAAACCATTTACTTTATTATGGATTGTTTATTGGGGTTTTGTATGTGTTTAAACTCCTTCTACTCCACAACCTCCATTAAAGACTCTTAAAAAGCGTGATCTTAGACCTCGGTATATAGCTGATACTTCTGGCGGTGTCAATTTCGCCAAAAGTACTGCCAGTTTCGGGTGAACGAGGCTGCAGAAACGTGAATTATCGTGCTATATGGAGTAGCCAGCAACATACACATAGTATATTGATTACCGGGCCATGTGTGGCGTGAGGGCTGGGTGTAGCCTGACTCGCACTTTCTCTGCTCTCTTCATTCTCTCTGAATCTCTCCCGTGGCTTTATCAATCAACAAAACACGTCAATGTCTTTATCGTGAGAGACAAACAGCAGTGAGTACAGCGTGTATGTGTGTGTGTGTTGGCAAGAAAATTCGGGAGCGGAGAGCAGAGGCGCGTTGCATTTAAACACAGCAACGGGAGGACGTGTGTGGGGTTTTTCCTCACCTGGGAGCACTACACGTGATCCAGTACTGGCATGGAAGACGAGAGAGCACGGGATCAAGAACAACACTGGTGAGCTCGTGTGGGTGTTCAGGTGATGGAAGGTGTCAAGGAAGTGTTTGTAACTGTGGGAGTGAAACAACTGTATCTGTATAACGTATAGAGTGACTAACACAAACTGAAAACATTGTGAAAGATGATTGTGTTGTGGAGAAGAGACATAAACAGTATTCAGAAGCTACAGTCAAGAACAACTGTTTAATATGTGAATAATCCCACGGTTAGTGGAATAAAATCGAGTGACACAAGGAAGAGAGAAACCATCCCGTGTGTGTGGGAGAAATACAAATGTTTTATAATATCCTGTACGGTCATAGTGGTGAGAGACAGGTGTGACCCAGCGAGCATCCCGCCCTCACTTCTACCAGGTAAGGCTCTGCTCCTCCCCCCCCTCCCACCAACGTTACGCTACATCTTACTTTAGTGTCATAACCAAACTGTATTTACTTTACTAAGGCTGAGTATCCCGAAGTTATCCCTTATATATTTCTTTGTAGTTAATGCAAGAAACGCTTATTTTTAACAAGAGTCAAATTGATCTCTTCCGTCATATCAGTGATAATATTTATGTATTATTTCTCCCCAGAGCCATCAACTTTTGAATTAACTTTCTACACTGTAATATGGTCATGAAAACGTCTCTCAAAGGACCCTGAAATACCCCAGCCACCATAACTAGCTGAGACTGAGCACTGAAAGGCGTGGAGTCGATAAATTTCCAGGGAATCAGGCACTTAATCCAATTAAAGTTGATTTAACGTGTTACCAAGACGACTGAGGCTTCGGCGGGGGAGGATTACCGTGATTGAGTCTACGTCAGGCAGGTGTGGGAGACGGGCAGGCCCAAATTTGGTGGTTAACTGAGGATAATGAGGAAGTAAGAAAGAAAGGGAGGAAAGATTAAGGGGGAGAGAGAGCAAGACCGTAATAGAAACTGAAATAAAGGGAAAAATGACAAGTAGGACACTGACGGTTCATTGGGAATGGTGTGAGAAAGTGTGTGATTACAAGTCCTGGTAACATAGTGTCGGAGAAGTGAACCTAAAGTTAATTTGGGAAAAGATGAGAGATGTAAGAGCATTGAGCAGACAACAATACATACACAGGACGAACTTTCACTAGCTTAAGGAGACAAAACTCACAGATACAGTGACTTAACAATACACTATACGTTAGACACAAAGGGACCTTTCCTCGGCTCTCTGTCTATCGTTAGATGAATCTGGGGGCAGGACCTAGCTGATGAAACCCCAGAAGACGGACTTATAAACAGCGTGGGATAAATTGAAGAATAGGCATCCTAGCTTATTTCACTTTATGATTAATTACCCCAAAGCTAACCTAACCTAACCTAACCTAACCTAACCTAACCTAACCTAACCTAACCTAACCTAACCTAACCTAATCTAACCTAACCTAACCAGTGGCGTCGTGCTGTAAGAGCCTGGAAAATAAATCGAGGTTTAAAAATTAGCAGCACTGTGCTCCTCTAATTCAATAAGAAAAAAATAAGAGACACGCCCAAGGGAAGAAACGGAATTACTTCACTGATATTTTTTCCGGATCATTTCTGAAACAAAATCATAAGTTTGAACAGAACTGAGATGAAGAATTATCAAAGTTTAAGACGAAGAAAAAAGTGATAAAGTTTGTAACAACATTGACAAGCCATAATATGTTGGCTATCACTCTGGCAACTCTGGATGGAGGTAGTGCGTTCTGGCATTAGTTGTATTGGTAAAGATAAAAAACGAAGAATTCTTGAAAAATTAAATCAGAATTAAATGAATCGTAGGAAGGAAGATAATTACATAGGTCATCACCCCCAGGATTTACGCCCTTGGTCATAAGACTTTAACCTCCCCTCGTCATGACTCTGTACCTAAAACCTAACTGAACCTAACCCCTTGAAGTAGCGTAAGGATGTTTAATCAACAAGTGAACTAAGCTGAGGTGCTTACGCTTGAGGTGATTCTTTTTTTTCTGTTGTATACCTGAACATTTGCTCCAGTAGTGTTGGATAAGTTCATTCAGTTTCAGAATTTGCATTGAAAATTTCGCTTTACCTTGTGAGTATACACTGGACTCTGACTCCGGTTACTGAAGTATATAAAATGACAACAATGAATGTGTTTATGTCTTTCCCATCATATAAGTTCATCGGATTTTCCCCTTTATGTACGAGGCTCCAGTATTATATCTAGGATAACCTATAGGCATTCTTGTCGATCTCATATTATGACGTAACTGTGTGACGTAACAACAAAGACGTCATCAGAACCCAAGATTTGTTTTGGTCTCTCGTGAGCATTTTTTAGGGCTTGTGTGTTGACAACAGTTAACGTCTTGTACACAGTAGCCATTTACATCTGCAACACACACACACACACACACACACATACACACACACATAGCGTGTATTTTATGACGGTGATCACCAGGTAGTTTCATAATAACAAGTGTGTTTATACTTACGGCCATTCATACTGACATTATTCATGACAGCAACTGCATGTGTTGTAGGTATACCTGGTAATAAGTGTGTGTGAGTGTGTGTGCGTGTCCTCCATTTCTAGGACTCGATGCAATATGATATCATGAAGCAAGTAATGTCTATCAGCATGCCATTGTACAATAAACAAGAGTCATAAATATGATAACATACACAGCTTGTACAGTCTGTCGTCACGTCGTCAACACTTCCTGCCAGGTGTGTGCCGTATACCTGCGTCTGTCTGTCTTTCAGTGTCACCTGTCAACACCTTAACATTGCGATTTATCCACGTGTGTGGAAAGTGTATTTTTGCTCATCGGAATGCACGTGTTGCCATCAATTAGCAGTTCATTGGAATGCTCGACCATGAAAAAATTGAACTGAGAAGAGAAAATAACAGAGTAATTACAAACGGCATTAGGGTCGTGGAGTCCGGCAGGCGTGTCGTGGGGGTGTAGGAGGTTGTTCTTTAAATCAGCTTCTCGTCCAGTGAGTGGGACGCGGAGGTCATCTGGATGGGACACACAGTGGAATAATGTCACTGCTCCTTTTTATACCTGATGTGTACATTTACCTTTTAAACAGGTGTGATAAACCCTAAACCCAATATGATCAAGCAAGAACTCCAAAGATTTCGTTTCAACTCAAAGGAAATATCGACAAAATCTATGGCAGACATAATGACAGCTACATTCATTATGGATTATCAAAGAATGAAAATGATAATGTACCTATTTCATTATGCTGTATGTGGAGAAACATTAACCAATTCTGGAATGAAACTTTTCACAACTTGGAAATGAAGACTTGCTTACTTCAAGAATAAACCTGCTGAGTACTTCCAACAACTTAAGTCGCCAGTAAAAATATAACAAAATGATACGTTTGTTTTGATGAATATTAACACCGTCGTCCTCTGGCTGAGATAAAACGTCATACACAATAAGAAACATTAGTTATTGCAGCTTGATTCATAGTCCGATTGAAAACAGAAAAGTTGTTTGCACTTCAGACAGATGACCCAACAGATACCTCGAGCATTGCAATATTGACAGGATTTATTAAATGTTAATGAAGTCAAAGCACTTGAGGATGTTTTAATGGTCGGGAATATGTCCACGCACAATATAGTTCGCGTTATGGATGACCATTTTCAAAGAACGAGCTGGATTGGAATTAGGTTGTTAGTCTTAGTACTAATGGCTCTGCTGCAGTGACACGCGTGCACTCCCAGGTCCCTGCAAGAATTTGCAAAGTTTCAAATGTTGATTTATAACTTACACATTGTATGAACCATCGAGAAATGTTTACTAGTAAATAAATGACCCCTGTAGTGTCTGGTGTATTATATGATTAAATAAAAGTAGTAAATATTATCAAGGTCAATGCAGTGAACAGCCGAGTCTTCGAATTACTTTGTGTGGAGATAATGGAGGTGTTGTGTGCTTATCCTTTTGCTGCTTGCCGGAGTGAGGTGGTTGTGGAGTGGCGAGGTGCTTCTCCCAGTCTCCCAACTAAGAGAGGAAATTAAGTGTTTCTTGGTTCAAAAGAAATCTAGGTCGACAAAGTTTTTCAACAATAACGATTGGATTTCAAAACTGGCAGACATGGGAGACATGGTTTGACTCCCAAATGAACTGAATCTGCAAATTGGGGGTTTGAAAAAAAAAGGATTGATAAAGGAATGTTTGATATATTTCACAGCTTTACAGAAGAAGCAGAGAACACCCAATGTGATAACGTAATATTACTGACCGTGTTTCATCAAGTCTGGATGAGCTTGAGGTCAAATTCAATTCATATTTTTCACCTGAAGATGATTCTCTGGTTGGATTTTTGAAGGGTAATGGATCTGATTATTCATTAATAAAACATATTCTACAACGGCATGTTAGGCCTAGTGGGAGAAGTGTGGATACAGCACAAGGAGGCGGTGTGGCCTACGCTGTACTCAACAGCCTTCACTTCCCTAACTATGAAGACGTGTGCTCATTTGCAGCTGGGTGTACTGGGGCAGTGCCACGGTTTCGAACCAACGACCCTTAGTGCAGAAGGCGAACACTTGTACTCGACAGCCACACTGCTGTAGACTGCTGTAATATCTTATAAATCACACTGATAACCACCGTGGCTCTGTAACACTAAAATTTGTAGTGTTAGTTAACAATCAGTTGTAGGTAATTGTAATGATTGTTGTCTTTTGCTTAAAGGTACTTCAAGTGTCAGGTTACTTAAGCAACATCCAATACGTATATATTAGTTTCTACAGCGAACAACTTTTAAGAAAATAGAATACATGTTGTAATAACTTCAGATAAAAGTCTAAAATGGTAAGAATAATTTCCCCATCTATATATATATCCTCCAAATTATTATCACCTTTACACCTCTGCGGGAAAAGTTATCTTGTCGTCTATTCCGGGAGTTTTGTTAGAGCTAAAACAGAGGCAAGAGATGATAACTAAGAGTGTTATTTGTCTCCCCAACAGACATGACTGCCGCCAAGTTTGAAGATATCTTGAACAAGTTAGAGACTGGACCTTGGAACTGGATCATATTTCTACTGTGTTCATTATGTGAGTGTGACAACTTCTTTTATGTGATTAAATTGATTGTAATTAATGTCAGCTGATGGTTCCACTCATCCTCAGACCCGTAATCATCATTTACCCAAATTAAAGTTAACCTAACCAAACCTACCCCAGGTTAACCTAATTTGAGTTAACCTACCCCAAATTAAGTTAATCTTACCTAGCTTGATTCAACTTAACCTAGCCAAACCTATCCCAGATTAACCTAATCTGAGTTAACTTACCCCGACTTAACCTAATCTAACCTAAAACAACCTTACCTATTTTACCCCTGACTGAACCAAACATTCCCTTGTCATGATCTAACCAATTCGTTACCTAACTCGACCTAACCTAACCTAACTCTAACCTAACCCAGTCTATTTTATCTCCGTAATCAAATTAAATCAAACGTAACTCCACCTGGAACTATCTCAATCATGACCTTAAACAACATCTAACATAATTTAACATATCCCTAACTTACTCTAAATTAGCCAATTTGTAATTCAGCTTAACCTAACCTAACTCCTAACATAATCTAATTTAAGCAACTCATAATTCAACCTAATACTACCTCCCTCTGCCATGACCTAACCTAACCTAACCTAACCTAACCTAACCCAACCTAATACTACCTCCCTCTGCCATGACCTAACCTAAGCTATACCTAACTTTACCTAACTTAACCAAACCCTGACAAACCCTAACTTAACCTAACCTCGAAAAATTCAAAATCAACCTAATCTCGGCAATTAAGGTTAGGTTCCAGCCTTACATTAGCTTCTACTCTTTTCCACCTACGTTATTCCTCCTTGTAAACTCCCTATTTCATATGTTTTACTTTTTTCTGTATTCAGAGAGAGAGAGAGAGAGAGAGAGAGAGAGAGAGAGAGAGGAGAGAGAGAGAGAAAGAGAGAGAGAGAGAGAGAGAGAGAGAGAGAGAGAGAGAGAGGTGTAGGACGCTGGAATAAACGAAGTCAAAGAATACATACAATTTATAATTATCTTCGTCTCGTGTTATTCATCTTACCTGTTTCAAGTGGTTCTGGAGGTGAGTGAACTTCTGTGAGGTCGTGTGTGTGTGTGTGTTATCTCCAGGGATGTAAACAAGCCGGCCAATTATTACCATACACGATAAAAGACCTCAATGGTTGCTTCTCACTTTGCAAAATATAAACTTGTCCTTTACACAGAACACCGTGGAGTTGATAAGACTTAGACTGATCAAATAGACCCCAGTTCAAAGAGATCCCAGTCGTAATAAACCCCAATCCTAATAGACCCCAGTCGTAATCGATCATAGTCCTAACTCCTAATACTTTATACTGTCCTATAATAGATTTCATACTGTCACTACGTACTAAAATCTGCATCAGTTTACTATTCGCATCCCTCTTGTAAACCACCAGATATTGATCAGCTCGACACGCTGGTTCATAGAGTGTGGCGACCTTCCGTTTCTGTATCTCCCTCACGCGAGTTTTGAAATATTCATGAAACCATTATCACTCACCCGCGAACTGTTGTCATCATCTGTGTATAGTCCATTAGTCGACCGCATAACATGAATACACAACAGAGTGAATCTATGACTGGGGTGGCTGGCGAGGGGAGGGCACGGCCAATAATTTTTAAAAGCAACGTAAACACAAAATAATTAGATTGTATAATACGGGTTGTAAAGTGATGATAGAACCTGATTTTTAATGGGATTTTAAATGGAACATTGGTCCTCAATTTTAAGATCTGATTATAGTAATTTCATGCCATAAGTTAACTAGTAGTGATAATAAGATATGTTTTTGAATAGTATTGAGAGGGAAGATTGGTCGCCATTCTTGAGGTAATGTAAAATCAAAGATCTCTGAGATAAGATAAATATTAGTGGCATAAATAGAGAGTAAACAGGGTGTGTTCATGCAGCTCCAAGAAGGAGTACAGTAAGTCACTTGTTAATCTTGTGGTAAAATTATCGCTTCTTTATATCTGCCAAACTCTGATATTTTTCCACGGAAATTCCACCAGAATGTTTCCCACGATTTTCCGCGTCATATTTTGGCTGAGGGAGCCACTAGTGTCACCCTGCTGTAAAATATCCTACACTATCACGTCACCAGACAGAAGTGGGCCAGGCCTTGAAGCAACGGCGAATTTAAGGGTTAAAACAAGAATATGCTTAACAGGAAAGCTTCTCAGATTAGGATGGGCATTATTTCGTTTGGTTTCAACTCCCTCAACCTTTATTAACCCAACCTGGACACATTATCTTTAATATTATACTAATTAGTGTAAATAATTGCATACTGTTGATATACATCCAGTTATCATGCGTTCGCTGACCCTGGTGGTAGCTGATAGATGTATACTCCTCAGAGTTTCGCGAGTTAGTCAACAGAATATTTTTTTCCCGGTTAATTGTCAGCTGTCTCCGCGCTGTACTGTACAAGGTATGTTCTCGTGCTAAACTAGTCCGCGTATCTCTCTCCTACAGAGATATAAAAACAAATATAAAACTCAATAGAGACATTAAAGGTGTGGGACCTAGTGACAGATATGGATTGCAAAGCCGCGAATCAAAATAAAACAAAAGAGTATCAACAAAGCGCCTGGGAAACGTATCAAATTTTCCACGAAAACAAAGTTAGCGCTAGGTCGTGGGCGGGAGGGATCCAGGAGGCTTGATCTAGATTACATGTAACAGGAAGTTTTTGTTTGCTTGAAGGTGAGTGTGTGTGTGTGTGTGTGTTCTTGTATAAGGTGGTCTTGACGCTACAATTTTTAGTTGTATGGGATTAATTATTTCTCCTTGCGCCAAAAAACTAAAATAATGCTTGGTTTATTTGATATTGATTTCTTATAATCGTGTATATTTTTTTTTTACCTAATTTACTGCTAACTATTTTCCCCTTTCGTCATATGTTCACTATCTAAGACCATATGGCTTTCCTTATTTACCGTAACAATTATTGCCCTTTGACGGTAGAAAAAGACTGATAAAAACTAATTGTGAACAAAATTCCTCCACACCTGGCAACATCAGTAAGTTTGTTATTATGTTATTCTACTATAAATCACATCAAAATACCGTGTTTCATATCTCTAACTCAATCACAAGAGAAATCACAAAATATCAAGAGCCTTCACTAAATAATACTTTGACTTAACTTTATATTCGTATTGTTCAATTAACCAAATAATTAATATAAAACATTTTTTTTTACACTAACCATAAAATAAATACAAAATTTCTAACTTTTCTTCAGGAGATTTTGAACATAAAGTTGCCATGTCCTCGCTCACACCTCCTCCTCCTCCTCCTCCTTGGGGTGCTACTCGTGACCAGTGATTTAATATTATCTGATATTTCCTGGGCGAGTGGCTGCCGAGGCGAGTGATGGCCGAGAGGATAATGCTTCACACTATCCTTAGCACCATATGCCTTCACCCTCGTTGGAAAATACAATCCTTTTCCCATTGGCGTCGGGAATAATGAATTCTTATAACTTTCCTTCCCTTCCTCACCTGACCCCTGCCTCCATAAACGTGATCAGTAGGAAAATGGGAAAGGAATGAGATTTTAGGTGAGAAGAGAAAAGGAAGTGATGAAGGGAGAAGTTGAGACAGTGCGTCTTTAAGTCATACAAATAATACTCAGACGAGGAGCTTTGTAGAGTTGTATCTTTACGGCTTTTGTTTCATGGAAGAATTTAGATCAAACTAAATCTGGTTGACTGTTGAAACCCCGTCTCTGTGTGTGTGTGTGTGTGTGCGTGTGTGTCTGTGTGTGTGCGTGTGTGTGTGTGTGGGTGGGTGGGTGTGGGATATCACACACACACACACACACACACACACTCCAGACCTTCACAGCTCAGGTCCAGACACGAATAATTCATATGAGACTCTCCACCTAACTTTATTTCTGAGTATTTTGTTTTCTGAGTCTAATTACTTTTCTTTCGGTCTTGTTTTTGTGAAGAAGAGACGAAGAAGAAGTTATAGCATAGTCCTCCTGTTGTAGCCTTAAATCCTACTACGTCTTATAACTTTCTGAAAAGACTTATTGCTAAACTTTCTCGGTTCGTGGAGACAAAAAGTTACATAAATTCGTTTTGTTCTGTTTAATCCATAACTCATTTTGTGACTTTTTTTAGAAAGTTCTTTAGAATGTGACTCCTCGTATTGTGAGAAGAGGCAATGTGTGTGTCTGTGTGTGTGCGCGAGTGTGTGTGTGTGTGTGAATAATAAAATAATAATAATAATAAACGGTTTATTAATAGAGTTGCAGCCGGTGGCTGAAAATATACAGACTTACATTTGATTTAGACATAATGATATATTATGCATTGAATACATTTACAGGTCTGTACAGTACATAAATCAGGAGTTGTTTATTATTTTAACAATAGATGGGATGGTGCTGTTCTTTTATCTATCGGTGCTCTTATGGACTGAATTTTGTTGTAGTGGCGGACTGCGCGAGTTGGGTGGGGGGCTGCTGGAGGTGGCGATGACGAGGGTGGTGCAGTAGTCCACTGCCAAACCTTTCCAGTGCTTGGTGGTGGAGGTCATTGAGGGATGGCATTTCTAGGGTGGAGAGAGCGTTGATGTAGCCGGAGTATTCTGCGCCGAGCATGATTCTGCAGGCTCTTTTCTGTACCTTCTCTAGCCGACGTTGTTGGGTGGAGTTGAGAGAAGACGACCAGGCTGGTGACGCATACGTTAGTTTGGGGAGAATAAAGGCGTTGTAGATGGTCCTCAGCTCTGGCGTGTGTGTGTGTGTGTGTGTGTGTGTAATTTTCTCTTTACGTTAAATTTCGATGGGATTCTTATTTATTTGCTCTCTCTCTCTCTCTCTCTCTCTCTCGCTTCAATTAGTGTGATTAAAGTTATAAAAGTTATATTTCTTCAAGGCCACACACAGTAAGAGAAAGAGATACTTTTCAGTTAATTAAGAGAGATATAATAAGGAATAGGAAGTCTGGCTCGCGGCTTCAGAGGATAGTTAAAAGCCAGATAGAACAGCGTTGATTGTTATGTAAACTTACGTCAGGAGTAAACTGAATTGATTTATTTTACCTGTAATATAAAGTTATGTAATGTATAATATTGTTGTTGCGTGTGTGTGTGTGTGTGTGTGTGTTTTACGTACATCATTAATTCTTCCTTTTGTAGTATACTGTTACATTTTATCCTATATCAGAAGAAGAATTTATAGAAGAAATATGAAGTAAATATTAGTGAGAGTCATGGCAGCATTGTGTCGTTGAGGGAATCATTACGAGCACTGAGTTTTGTGTTGTGTGTAAAAGCAAAAGTTCGATATAGCTTCAGTGTTAGGTGGGCCGTGTTGTAAGGATAATATCTAGCATGTCCGGTGAATGATATGAGAGAATTGTGAATGATATGACACCACTTACCTATTAATGACACTCATAACCTTTAACTGATTATGACACATGACACCACTTGTCTATAAAAAAAAATTAATAATTTTAAAACTCGTCATAAGGACTAACACATTAAAGCAAAAAATCTCTCTATATATAAATGAAGTGAAAATAAAAAACAAAATATAAAAAGATAAAAAATAAAATAGTTCAGTCATTAAAATTTTACAAAGAGAAAAAAATCTTCATAATTAAAAGCCAGCTAAGAGGATATGAATAAAAGGTAAATATAAGTGAATTGAAATGAAAGATAAATAATCCTCAAAGAAACAAAAATCAAACAAAAAATAGCTTAGAAACGAAAGATAGAATAAGCGATAAAAAAACAAATATGATCAGAGGACATTCAAACCCAGCCTGCTAAACTTCACTACCCCCTTCACTCCCCTTTCCCTTTCCCTTCCTTCCACCTTCCCTTCCCTTCCCCTGCCTTCCCCTTTCCCTCTTCTCTCCTCCTCTATTCCCCACCCTCCCCCCCCTCTCCCCCTCTATCTCCCACTTTCCCCTTCCCTCTCCCCCTTTCCCTCTCCTCTATCCCCCTTCCTCCCCTCTCCCCCCTCCATCCCCCACCTTCTCCTTCCCTCCTACTTTTCCCCGTTTACCTCCACCTTACCCCTTCCTCCCCTCCCCAGGTTGGAAAATGCTACACGTACACAGGTCTTGTTCCTCAGAAAATACCCATTAGGGCGTTGGCTGACGGAGACTCATTCAGCTCGGTTGGGGGACACCTGACACCGCACTAGTGTCTTGTATAGTAGGAAAGGTGTCAGTTTTGAAAGTTACGACATACCATTTTTGTATATTATTTTTTTTTTCGGTAGTTTGAAATTCAGATATAGAAAAGTTTTCAGTCAAGTCTGTTGTGAGTTTTAATGAGGCAAAGTTTTCGTCGGTATTTTTTTTATATTACGGCGTTGTGGGGGTTCTGTTTTGATATTATGGCGTTGTAAAGGTTTTTATCCCGGTTAGAAATGATGACATTACAAAGGTAATTTTCCCCTTCATTTCGTAGCTCTGACACCTCATTTTCTCATCGATGATTAGAAATTATGACACGACAAACTTTTTTGATTCCCTGTTTTGGTATTATGGTTCAGCTTGAGTCCTTTTTTCCTCGGGTATAAACTAGGGTATAAACTAGGCTATATATATATATATATAGAGATATATATAGTCCAGTTTATACCCGAGAAAAAACTCAAGCTAGACTCTACCCCAGGAGTTGACTTAGACAAAGGCTTTTATATAGTGATTACCTCTCCCACCTTAACGTAGTTTAAGACAACCTAACCAAGGCACACGTAATTTAACCTATGGCCCAGTTTGTTATTACGGTATTTTACCTTTTTGTTCAGTTTGAGCACAACATTTTATAACAAGTGGATGAGTTTACAAAATAAAGGATAATTTTGGTCATTCTCTTGTCTTCGTCGTCTTCAGTACACTGTAAAACACGGTGCAGTTTGTCTTCTTATTTTTTTATTTCTCTCTGTTCGGGATTTGTCTTCGTTCTCCGCCCCTTGTCTTGTGTCATTTCCTCCCTCATTTAACATTCCTCCAATTCCTTTATCATCACAACCCTCAACAAAACCCGAGGGATTCAGGAAGAAGCTCACAATAGTGCCCATGGTTGGGACTATCTCCTGAACGTAAAGGATTTACTCTGTCTGGAGGGATTGAACTTCAAGCCGGAAATGACCACCTGGTGAAGAATCACATTTACAAACAGATGAATACTGTACTGTACCTACTTCAACATTCTTGTTAAACTGCAGAGGAATGTATGAAATGCTTGTGCTTCACTTATCGGTCCAGGAATATGATATGAAAATATATCTTAATGTTAAAGCGTGGAAAATTAATACGAATTACTGTATAAAGTTAAAACTATTACCCACCGAGGTTGTGTTGTATCTCCTTTATGCAATGACGACGTAAAAAATAGAAAACTCATTTATTACCCAAACTAATCAACACTTAATCAAGATCGTGTAGTAGTGGTGATCAGTCAGATACTTGTTTTGCTTGACTAACTGATTATATTATCCACTCTTTAATATCACTTAAACATAACACTACACAGCCTAATCACAAAACCATTCAGTACATAATCAATAACTGTTAAAGTCCCTAGAATATACCTTAACTAAGACTCGCATTCTTCAACAACTACACTTCACGTGATTGTGTCTAATAAAGAAATTCAGCTAATTGGTCTGTGAAGGTACAGTTTAGTCTTGAATTAAGCTTATTTCAGTAACAGGTACAATTAATAAAGACTCAAACTAAACCCAAGTCCCTCAAGCAATACACATCTGCCTTTTGTGTACTCAAAGTCGATTCAGCCCTCAATACGTCATTAACTCACCTGATCTAAAACACAGGTAGTAGAGGAAATTCATATGCCAGGTACAGTGTGTGTGTGACTTGAGGCGTGACGGATCCAATCACTTATAAGAACGAAAATTACATAAGAAAAGTACTTAAGTCTCTTTGGGATATATTGTTATATTATACTTGAAATGTCTCTACATATATCAGTAATCATTCATATGACTAATAAATTACTAGGACGCATTAATCTAACCACCTGAAATATTTATAACTGTAAAATTATAAGACTCTACTTTATAAGATTTGGTAAGACTCTGCCATAACACCCAAGTTAAATCGTGGAAGTCTTATAAAGTTTATCTACTGGAAACTAAATTTTACACGGTCGGGCGGACAACATTAAGGGGTGTACCTCCTTACAAACTTTTGATCGGTAAATAAAATAGTCGGAGGAAAATAGAAGTTTTTTTTTCACTTTTCACGAAGGTTTTGTGTGTGTGTGTGTTATAGCAATTTTAATTTTGTTCAAACATGTTCAACGCGAGATAATATTGCATATATAGACTTTATTAAAACACACGCACGCACACACACACACACACACACACACACACACACACACACACACACACACACACACACACACACGCATATATACAAAAACAAACACTTCCATTCCCCTCCACACACACACAAACAGTCCCACCCATACACACACACACACACACACACACACACACTCACTCCCACTCCTCCATTCTCACACACACACACTCCCACTCCTCCATCCACACACAGACACCCCATCTCCCCAGCCACAACACACAAACACTCCCACTTCCTACGCACACACAAACACTCCCACTTCCTCACTACAACAAAATTCATCCCATAAGAGCCCTTACTGATACATATAAGAACAGCACCATCCCATCTATTGTTAAAATAATAAACAACTCCTGATTTATGTACAGTACAGCCCTGTAAATGTATTGAAAGTATATTATTATGTCTAAATCACACGTAAGTTTGTATATTTTCAACCACCGGCTGCAACATTATTAATTTACACACAAACACCCTCACCCCACACACACACACACAAACTCAAACACCACCTCATATTCACACACCAAACACAAATATCCAAACCTAACATAACCTAACCTAACCCAGTGACCTGCTCAAACACGCTACAAACACACATTATCCTCGCTACCTACTGACCTGTAACCTGTGTGTGTGTGTCGTCACCAGGGGGAGTGTTTGGGGCTATGCAGGCTGTGGCGACGGCCTTCCTCAGCCCCACGATAGACCACTGGTGCAGCGTGCCCGAGCTGACCAACTGGACCAAGGAACAGGTGTGGAGCTTCTCCCTACCCAGGTAACTCTCTCTCTTCACCACACCTGTCTGGGTAGTAATCTTCTCCTTTATATGTTGATGAAGTAAAATTCCTCTCTTTCTTAGTGACACTCTCTAGCCTTGTGTCCAATGTCCTGTTCTATTAATATTTATACAAGTCACAGCAGTTCACAAGATGTCCTGTTTACATGTTTTCCTTCTTCCTACTCTCTCATCCTTTCGAGATAAATTCAGGCATCTCGCTTCAGCTCAGGGTTCATGTTTCAGTATTTCTCAAAGTGTCATTTCATTGATGGTACTTGTCCGGGTATCATGTCTTTGATGGCACATGACTGGGTGCCATATTCCGAAAGGACACATCCAATCAACCTTTGTCCTGTCTCTTTCCCGAAAATAATCACCGAACAGAACCTGATAGCATTCCTCGCCATGACCACTGACCAGTTCCACCTGACCTTCTGATAAAAGTCTCGTCGCTTTCCTGTGTATGTTGAATGACCTTTCTTTTCCTGTGTGTGTGTGTGTGTGTGTGTGTGCGTACCAAATAATCTCATTGGACCTCCCACTCACAGTTGTCTCACAGTTTGACGAACTTATTACAAAAACTATGATCATGGTAACAGTAATAACCTTTTTGATCATAGAGATAATAATAATTTTAATAATAATCATAAGAAATATTCATCAGTCAGCCTCATTTATCATCACTCTCATCATCATCATCATCATCATCATCATCATCATCATCATCATCATCATCACTAATATTATCACCCCCAGAACAACGGTAGGAGGAGTGCCACATCACTCCCAGTGCGAGATGTACGTGAGGAACTACAGTCACCTGGTGGGCGTGGCCTGGGAGGACCGTTTCCACTACTTTCCTGACGAAAGCGCTGAAGTGGAGGCTCTCCCAACCCAACCTTGCCCCAGCTGGGAATACGACACCCACACCTTCCACTCAACTCTCATCTCTGAGGTGAGTCTTGACGCCAAAAATCTCACTTGTTCGCAATTTAATATCCCCCCTTACTAAAGATCTGAGAGTGCACGTAATTGCTTCATATTATCCCTGACATAAACATGACAATCAAAATGGCATAAAACTGCACAGGAACTCTACCAAAGCTTAGAGTCATAGCCAGCACAGTCAGTCAGCACTCAGCAGCAGCAGCTAGCTACACCCTCACCCTCCTGTGAGTTGACGTCAGGAGAATAGTCACCCATTCCTTCTGCTCTGGCGCTATAAGGCCGTACAATAACTGGTCTCAGCAAAGCTATTTAATATATATTTTAATTTCTCGGGTTGAAGGGGGAGGGACGCTGTGTGGAGGTGTGTAGACGTCGATACGTGTGTGTGTGTGTTTGTATATCATGTGCGTGTGCAGATATATTTAATAATATATGTATGCGAACGCAGGTGTTTGATAGACATCACAGACAAACAAATTCTTGGCTCTTTGCATACTACACACACACACACACACACACACACACACACAACACCATATGTGAGGAGGGAGTTACTACACCACGTGAGGTCCCTCATAACACCATCTGTGAGGTAATTACTACACCACGTGAGGTCCCTCATAACACCATCTGTGAGGGAATTACTACACCACGTCAGGTCCCTCATAACACCATCTGAGGGAACTACTACACCACGTGAGTTCCTCCTAACACCATCTGGGAGGGAGTTACTACACTACGAGTTTGCTGTTCAACACCTACATTAATCTGTATGCTCACTGTATGTTCCTTCACCTTTCTCTAATGAAGGCTTTTGTCAAACCACCAATGTATGTAATAAGTCATTTATGTCCAATGTATATTTTCAGCCTTCGGGCTGCAGATTTTTTTTTCAATAAACCGTTAATTTTTATTATTATTATTATTATTATTTTACACACACACACAATAAAAGTGTTCAGAACCTCTTATCTGTAGCTGAACTGGACGTGTAACATTTCAAGTTGTATTGATCTGATGGACACGTGGTGCTTCCTGTTGTGTGCGATATACATATTTGACGGGGATCACCAGCCGGGATAAACTTGCTTTTATATAATACACAGAATGGAATACGAATTCATATTACACGCCTTTGAAATATATTAACACATTTTTGAGGATTTTCTTTTCCTTTACTCTGAACAGGACGGAATATTTCACAAATTTTCTCCCCGGATTTAGAGTTTTGTGGGATTATTTAACCATCAGAATTATTTAACCATTGATAATTATTTAACCTTTTAAAGTTATTTAACCTTTGTGTATTATTTAACTTTCGAGAATGATTAACTTAAAAATTATTTAACCTTTCTGGATTATTTAACTTTTGAGAATTATTTAACCTTTGTGTATTATTTAACTTGAGAATTTGTAATCTTTGAGAAATAACTAATTATTAAGAGTATGAAAATATGAAATTACTGGAATTAAATGAAGCTCTACTGTTCTCATTCAACTCAGTGATGTATAGTTGCTAGGATTCCCCCTTCCTACGACATTATTCATTCATTCATCCTTCAGGACTCGCTAGGATTCCTGTAACCGACTGTGTGTGTGTGTTACAGTGGGACCTAGTGTGTGGGCGAGAGTCACTTCGCTCCGTCATACAGAGCATCTTCATGTTTGGCATCTTCTTCGGTGCTCCACTGGGCGGTTACTTCTCAGACAGGTAATTCCACACCTTATTTTTTGTCTTGTTTCTGTGTCACGTCTCCAGGAAATATGTGAAAACAAGCGAGAGAGAGAGAGAGAGAGACGATACCTTTCATATCTCACATCTCAGGAAAAATGTGAAGGCAGTGGAGAGGGATTTTTGCTGTCACCCTTTATTTTTTTCGTCTTGTCTTAGAGTATTTCAACATTTTAGTTTCATACTTCAGGAATACAGAAAAATCCGGGGAAAATATTGTCCTCCGTGTCCTCCTTAGGAAATTGATGGCAGATGATTAGAATTTTGCTGGCATAGACAGACAGACAGACAGACAGACAGACAGAAAAAAGACATTTTCTTAATTAAAATCGCCACACTATGATAGATAATGTAGGTATACAAATTACACAATATTACATAGACAGACAGTAAATTGACCAAGGATAACCAGAAAAATCATCATATATTTTTTTCCACTACGGTACTTTAGGTATTAATGTATTTTATTTATATATTTTCCTACCTTAGTTGTACCAGTGAGAGATGAATGACAGAAATGGGTACAATTCGTCACTCAGAAAACATGATAACGCTTTCACTCTTATCATGCGTTAATCTGTCCGAAGATAGACACAAATATTCATAAATCCCAATACAAACCTTCCTAGCCGTCATGCATACACAAATGCGGCCACGAAAACAAGTGAAGACGGAGTTCAGAGAAGTTTGCCGGCAACGAGAAGATGAAAATTGTATCAACATACCGAACCAAGTGAGGAGCAACACAACGTAAAATATACCAAAAAATACGAGATTTAGAAAATTTGGCTTATTATCTCTGTCTTCCTTATTTTCTAGGTGCGTCTTGCTTATCATCTCTCGATCTTTAGTGTTACTTATCATACAACATTGATGTATTGTTTAAATTGCTCTCCCTTACTTATTTATTCTACACATAAATTTTACTTAATATATATATATGAGTCTTACATATTGTCCACACTTATCTTGCTCATCGCGTACAGTATATAAATCTTTCTTTGTTGTTTATATGCCTTGCTTAGTATATAAATTGGTCAAGCTTGAAGCAATAAAGTGACGAGACGAGAGTAATCTAGGAGAGTTACCCACCCTAGTATACACATTATAGAGAAAAGGTTATTTAAGGAGAGGGATAACTATACTATTAAGGAAGGCCGACTACACTAATCTCCCCCTCCCCCCCTCCCTCCACACACGTTTACCCTACCAATCCTGAGTTAGTTTTCTTTGCTTTAGGTTAAGTTAGGTTAGTTTAGATTAGGTTTGGTTAAGTTAGGTTAAGTTAGGTTAATTTTGTGTGGCTAATTCGTGTGGCTTGCTCTTCTAAATGGTTGTATCTGTTAGTTTCGTGATACTTTATACAATAAATTCTAAGGAACTGATATATGTATAAATTTTTTACTCATTAGCACACACACACACACACACACACACACACACACACACACACACAGTAAAACTCTCTCTTCACTCATTTTGCTGATATGTAAGTGGAATCATCAGCTACATTTCTCACCCTTCTAAAACAAAGCTTCGCAGAATCATATCCCTATGTTGCTCGCCCCTCAGCAGCACGCCTCTATACCTGACTCACTGTTCATGCTGCCTGACGATACAGCTATATACTGAAATGTTTATGTTGATCCAAAAATAAACACTCGTTAGTTGTGTATTGTCACGGGTGAGTCGTCTGTGTTGAGGTGTTTCAAAACGTGTGTGAATGATTCTTGCTGCGAAATGTATACAGTATATATATTGTATGTATAATTGTTGTGAATAAATCAGAGAAGCTAAGGTCATTATCTCGATGGTAACATAAAATCTTCACTATTTTAAAGGTAACGAAGGTAGAACTTGAAAATCTTAAGACTAGCGAAGATAAATGTGAACATCTAAAGAAAGTAAAGGCTAATATATTGTACATTTTAAAAGGGATAAAGTTTATATCTTGAATACAAGGAACGGAGCTAAACTCTTGACTATCTTAAAAGGGACGAAGGTAGAGTCTCTGGTGTCGACAAGTTTATACCATCCGTGAGAAAGTTTCCTGTGAGGTGAGTCAGTGACGGGTGTCTGAAGACCGACACAAGGACGACACAAGGACAACACAGGAACGACATCTCCCGTCTCCAGCAGCATCACGTTAGGGAGGGAGATGCGGCAGGGTCGGAAAAGTTCTCACGTTCAGGACTCCTTCAGGAAATTTAACAGGACTTTGACATGTCTGTAATCTTCAGTGTGTCTCTGGCCTGGCCGGATGGTATACCGTCATCCCTCTACCAGCGTTATGAAGAAAACTTTAAATTTGTTCTATTAGATGAGAATACACACACACACACACACACACACACACACACACACACACACACACACAGCAGGCAAACAATGTGTCGCGGTCATCGTCTCTGCCTTACTGTCTACATTTGTCCCCCGTGTTGTTTACATAATTCTCCTTTATTGTCTGCATTAGTCTTGTCCACTGTCAAAATAAATCTTGTTTATTGGATACACAAAATGTCGTCGCCTACGTCCCCTTTGCTTGTTTTCTGTAAGTCTCCTTTATTGTGTATATTTATAAATCTTTCTTTTTTTTATTAGGTGGGTGGGGGGGAGCGCTAGGGGAGGAATGTTAGTTTTCTAAGAACGTGGAGAACTATTGATACTCTCTTGACCACGTTGTTGTGCAGTTAATTATTTTTTAGCATCGCTCATTAGCC